GAATTTCAGCGATGTATTTGGGACGATTCTCGAATTTCTGGAATACTGATCCTCAGACTGATGTTATCGTTGACGTGACCATAAATCTGGAGAAATACCCCCAATGTGATTATTTATACTTGGTTTGACATGTTTAAAGGCTTTATATAAGTTTCTGTGTAAGGAGAATCGAATTATTGTCAGACTTATATCCTTCTCTAACCCTTAACAACCCTAAAGATAGGGTACTCATCTCCAACTTCAAGAGGAATAATGTTGAAGCTAGCATAAGAATCAATATTCTCAGGCTCCAGAGCATTGAGAGCCAGCCCCGCGTTTTTCTGCCTGGTGCTGACTAGAAAGCTACCAGCCGGCAGAGTAAGCTGTCGTTTCTTGGTTTCAGTCGTAACAGTAGCAAGCACAGCTCCCTCGTAGTACGAACTGCTGAGCTCCGAAGATGTAATATTCAATGCTTCAACTGTACCGCTCCAGGGCTTACTAAGAGTCTCGACTTCAAGACCAGAAACCTCAAGACGCTTAGCGACATCTGCCCAAGCAACAGGGATAAGGTAAGATTCTGGTCGAGAGCGAGTTAGGTTCGCGGTAGTTGGTGTAGTAGACGCAAACTGAACCGGAACTTTGACGATTGAGCCGTTGGTGTAATCAATCATCTGGAACATCCGTGTGCTATAGTTTGTCGAGTCGGTGATGACAATAGGTTCCTTGGACTTGATGAAATCCTTGATACCACCCTCGACGGTCTTGAAGACCTTCTGGGCGTTGTTGGAAGCAGTTTCGATGATGGAGCTAGCCATGGTCAAGCCAGCAGCAGTTCGACGTTGGAATTCTTGGTCTGCTAGGCCAATTCCTCGCATCTCGATCAGGAATGTGATGGATTGAGTGAGACCCATTGCGTTGCGACCAATCTTGGCATCAGAGCCAGCTTCGTCGAACCTATGGCCAGTCAGCTGACAGGGAATTAAAACAAAAATCAGGAGACTTACTTGGGCACGTAACTAGGGTCAGTGCTAGTGCTACCAGTCACATAAGGCTCCCATCTCAGCCCAGCCTTGACCATAGCATCTCCAATGTTCTTGGCAAACAGCTTCTCAGAGAGTTCTCGAATATTCTTGTTGATATTCAGGTTTTTCGCAGCGGAGAATAAGCCGTCAGAAGCTTGAACGTAGTTACCGTATCGACCTGATGAACCGTACTCATGCATATCAATGGCAACATGTGGAGCAAACTCGTTGAACAGTTGCTTGATATCACGAGTCTGCTGTCGTGCAAGCTTAGTATGATCGCGGTTTGGATCAAAATTCGTAGCGAGTACGCGCTGGAAGTAGTAAACACCATCAGGGTTATACCGAGGCAAGATGACAATATCAAGGTTCTTGAGAATCTTCGACGCCCATTTAGGATCTTTGTCGAACTTGCCAAGCAGAGCGAGGAGGGATTGATCACCAGCTGGTTCGTTGCCGTGTACAGCGCCTTGAACCCAAACTCGGACCTTGTCTGAAGTCTTTGGGCCCTTTGAAGACGAGAGCTTGACAAATGGGAACGATCTTAGTTCTTCGGATGTAAAGTTTGCTGTTTGGTAGGTCATATAGTCGTTTTTTGAAGCAATGCTTTCCATGTAGGCCTCTGCATGTTGTCAGCATGGGTTTATCGACGCGGTTCGATTTATGCGTACCCATATCTTCGTGAGAGGTCGGCCCTTGGGTTCCATTTTTGAAACCTGTCTGCCGACTCCCAGGGTCGAGGAAAGCCGGCGAATAAAGATCGACATCGACATCCTTGAAATTTGCTGCAATCAATGGAATATCTTTTCGGACGGTTACGTGGTTGTGGCCATACTGAAAGGCATTGACGGCCGAGACGGCCGAGATACCGAACAAGACTGTCTTTGCCAGCATTTTGAAGATCTAAAAGCTGGATACTCCTGCAGAAGTTGATCGACGAGGGAAATGTGTGCTTTTATAGGCTGCATGGTCAGAGGCTGGTTCCTAAAGAGGTAGCTCATTACGTACGGCTCTACTTCTTGCTTCCGTGCTCGAATTCCCCTCAGAATCAAAAGATCGTCAGGCATCAGAGAACTAGCATAGATTTAAGCATGACTTCGGGGGAAATCAACAGGAAAAAGATGTCTTGGCACAGAAGAGATTAGCTTAATAGGGAAGCTGGCAAGACTTGAGTTGGGGATAGTGGGGTCATGTAGCATCAATGTTGTTAACTTTGAGAGGGGTTGAACTTTGATCATTGACGCGACATCTAACCTAGCAACACATAAATTGGTATTAAAGCATTCTAGCCAATCTTTGAATGTATAATTTCGAAACGCTCGTCTCTCAGAATTGGAAAATATGTCGAAAATTGGGTTGAATTCGCCGCGATAGACAAATGTCTCCAACCTTGGCGATATCGTGATCGACAAGATAAGGAATACTAGGCACCCGGCGTTCATGTAAGGTTTTCTACACGTCCCCGTGAGTTAGCATAGCCGAGATTATCCACAATATGGAGCTGAGGTAAAAGATAGGCATTTATCAGGGGTCTTGTCGTCGAGCATTCGACGTATCTTATCTGGCAGGAATAATCCTCACATATGTATATCACTATCCGACGGACGAAGGAATTTGTAGTTCTCGAGAAACTGCCGCCGTGATCGACTATAGATATCTATTTGTAGGTATTGACAGTTGATCTATTTGTTGAGACTGAATGGGCTACGGAGGCAAGAAAACTTAATATCTCCATCCTATGTTATGGACAGACTTAGACAAGCCTTCGATAAACTCAAAAGACCTGTAGGTCAGTTATTTTCATTATCTTAATTTCAGGTCAGAATTTTTGTGGCCCCTGAAGTTGAGTTATCAAACTCAATATACGGAGTACGTGGCTCGAGAACTCTGAAATCCGGCTCATGTCCTGCCAGGCCAATGAGAGACTCCAATTTTGGGTGGCTTGACTCTACCAACACTGCCGAACTTGGAGAGCGCTTACGCCAAAAGCCATCGCTGCACCGCGTCTTCTGACAAGTATAAGCGCCTTACGCAAACACAATGCTCGTTCCTCACACTGATCCTGCTTCGAAGCCGAAGCCTTATAAGAGAATCATATTTTACCATCAGACGCAATACAAAGACAACAGATACATCTCACTTCAACCAACAATCCTCCCAGCCACTGGAGTCACCCACGTCATTGTCGCGGCCATTCATCTCAACACGCCTAAGCGCATCACCCTCAACGATGATCTGTATGATGCAGATAAGTTTATTCCTCTCTGGGATGAAGTCCGTCAGCTTCAAGCAGCCGGTGTAAAAGTCCTCGGCATGCTCGGAGGCGCAGCTCAAGGCTCATACACCAAAATGGACGGGTCGCTAGAGGGTTTTCACAGATGGTATCAGCCTCTGCGCAAGATGATCGCGTGGGCAGGCTTCGATGGACTGGATCTCGATATTGAAGAGGCCATGTCGCTTGGAGGCGTCGTCCGCCTGATTGATCACCTCAAGACGGACTTTGGACAATCCTTCCTCATCACCCTCGCGCCCGTCGCGCCCGCTTTACTTAACAGGCAGAATCTCGGAGGCTTCAACATGGAAGAACTCGAAAAGGGACTTGGCTCGCGAATCGCGTGGTACAACACGCAATTCTACTGCGGCTGGGGTGACATGAGCAAAACACACGACTACGACACGATAATCGCGCGCGGCTGGCCACAGGAAAAAGTAGTGATTGGTCTGGTGACAAACCCTGCCAATTGCTCCGGGCACGTAAAAGAAGCAAAGCTGCGCGCGTGTCTCAAAGAGTTGGTGAGCAGGTACCCGAGGATCGGAGGAGTAATGGGCTGGAAGTACTACAACAGTGTCACAGAGGCTAGCCCTGAGATCGGCTCACCGTGGAAGTGGGCCGAGATGATCAATGACATGTTGAATAGTGCATAGATCGAGGGAGGAAATGGTCCTAGCGAATGATCAAATCGAGGGAGAAGCAAAAAAATATGAGGGTCATGATGGGGACTTGTCATCTTGATATATCTATGACGACAACCGTGCGCCACGTCGATCAAGGGCACGCGACCGTTTCTACAAAACCCCAGATTTTCGTTAATCCCAGATCTCGTATCATTTTAAATCTAGATCTAGGTACCAATCCATTCAATTGTTGCCAAGAATTCTCATATCTATCTATCGCAATGGCCGCTGACGACGACGAGAAGCATATGCAAGGGCATCAGCATGAATTCGCCCATGACAACCACGATGATTGGGAAACCCAACCTCCCTACACAAGGCCCGATGAAGCCACTGAAAAGCGAGAGAACTTTGAAAAGAAAGTTCATGGCTCGTGCCACTGCGGTAGAGTGCAGTATTGGCTGAACAGCGACAAGCCACTTGCGTCCAAGTACTGCCATTGCATAGACTGCAAGAAGATCCACGGTACTCCACTCGATGATACACTATATAGTCAGTGGCTAATAAGTTTCAGGTGCTCCTTTCCAGTGGGCGGCCATCTTCAAAAAGACAGACCTCTCTTTTGAGAACGGTGTCAAGAATCTTCGGTTCTACAAGACTTCGTCCAAGAAGAGCGAGCATGTTCTTCCCTGCAAGGTCGGCTGTGCCGAGTGCGGAAGCTGGATTATGGATGAAGGACGGAATATGGTTCTTTTGTTCCCTACGCTCTTGAATCTGGACACGCCTGAGCTACGGGAGAACTTCCAGCCACAGTAAGTTATGTCGCTAAAGAACACTGTTATTATAGGCTAACTAGGTCAAGGTGCCACATTTTCTATACGCAGAGAGTGGTTGACATTCCTGATGGAAAGGACAAGTGGACGAAGCTCGATAAAGACAGCGAGCTCATGGAGGATGTCGATCAAGTCGATGATGTTGCTAGGAAGCGGCGGCGTTGAGGTTAGGTATTGGACTGGTGCAGGAATCCATCAGATAGAACAACATGTATTTAAAAAATGACAACTACGAAAGTGATGGGCTCCGCAAGGACTTTTCGAAGCTCCCTCATACAAGAGTTTCCTTCGTTGAATCCGAACTCCAAGACGTTTCTGTTTCATCTTGCGTCCCCTGCAAGCTCAACGAACTCAGTTGCTGAGTGAGATCATTGTTCTGGTCCTTCCCTTCAGTAGTCTTTGGCTTTTGATCTGGACGACTCAAATCATTGCCAGACGGTCGATCAGGCTTCCTATCGAAGAGCAGTCTCGACAGCCTTCCGTGACTAGCTGACAGTTAGAATTATCAATCAAATGGGTCTTCCGGAGCTTACTCATTCTCGAGTATGTATTCGGAATTTTGTAGCTTGTCTGCATCAACTATGCCCTCTTCATCAAGAATCATCTTGATAGACGGTAGGTTATGGTTGTTGGTCATAAGGATCGTCCTTATCAAGCCAACCGTTGTTTGATCCACGGGCCATATACTCTTAGACTCGTCCTTGAGGTCCGTCATGAGAATTTTAATTTTTGCTAGTCTCGCCGGGAGTTGAACTGCTCTTGCGACTTCTGCTGAACTTTTCTCGAGGTAAATCTCCAAACCATCATCATCTTTGAGTACAACGACATCTGGATACGGCGCTATAACCTTTGCATCCTCGGCACTCTTTATCTTAAGAGTTGTGGATATGCTGTTATCTCCAAGGTAGTGTATTCTGGTCTTCTCTAGGGTTCGAGCTAAGGAGCTTCTCCCAAATGCCGTTAGTGTCTGGGGACTCCTGTAATGAACGGCGAGCCTGTGACACGTATTAGTTTGGTATTTACATGTAGTCCACTGGTAGCCTACCGTAACAGTCCCTTTGCTCGCAGCGAATGTATGTATGGCGACGTCCCTGAGCCTGGATCGAGACATGGTTCTTGAGATAGCGGTCCTCGAGTCCTGCCCAAACGAAGAAAGGTTGTAGTAGCCAAAATGTCGTGTAATAAATATTTAGGACTGGAACCTTGTAGCGAAGGTTAGTGTAGAAGTCCTCTCTGTCCATAATGTAGAATTCAGCCGAGGCTGAGCACAGCTTAGGACACCAGCCTTTTCCAGTAACTGGAAAGATATCGCTTTTAAGAAGTTTTTTCTTATCGAGATAGTGGCCATATTTGTCGATATCGTCACTCAGAGCAACAAGTAGTCTAACTGCTTGTGCTTCCTTTGTCTGGCCAAAAATAGTTACCGAGTGCTTGACGTTTACGAGCTCATCATAGACCCGGCCGATATCCGTTGATGGCACCCTCAGAACGCCAGAGAAAAGTGACCGCAGCTCGGAGAAGGAATCCCACAAGTTCGCAGTGCAGTTGAGCTTAGGTGCTCAACTACAGTCACTAGAGAGTACCGTTCTGTATCGTCTGCAGAGAGAATGATACACTGGTTTGATTTGAAATACGCCCTGCGCTCTGGTTAGTCATCATTCCCATGCGGTTGAATGGCTTCGTACCCGAGTCGGTCGCGATCGTCCCCTGAAAGTTTTCCGGGCCACATCTTGTTCAACATCTCATAAAGCTGCTTTGAATGTTGGAAGCCTGGCTTCTTATCAAGCTCTTTCAGAATTACATTCAAGAAACCATCGTCAATCTGCAGTATATCTTTGTAGAACTTCTCTAATGCTATAAGTTCAAAATTAGAAGCATCCCAACTCCTAGGGGGAGGAAGTATAATCGGGCTTGTTATGACATTAGATATGTCGGCGAGGACCTCCAAGCAGCATTCAGTCGATCGACACCATTCTTTTGCTGTGATAAGCATAGAGTCTTGTATGAACCATTCTCTGAGGATACTCGTCAATAAGCTGGAAACATAACATATGATTGTTTCTTTTCTCAACTCGTCATTTTTTGCATAGCTTCCCCCCTTTTCATATCACAAGCAGCTTGAATAAGAAGATATAGCTCCAAAACTCGTCGCGGGAACCCCACGTCTCCATTTTCGTTGTGACTCTTCAGAGCAGCCAGGAGATCGGTATAAAACATCGCATCATCGTCATGTACAAGGCCGATGTCATCCGAAAAGGCAGTCCAGGACTCAAGGCCAGCGCCCGCAGTTATCTCGTATTCTGACAGGAGAAGCCTGAAACTCTCTTTAGGAAGCAGATATCGATTCTGCAAGTACACTAACTTCGGGAACGGAAGATATAATGAAACCAGGCTAGCTGTCTCGCCCCTTGGCCGTGTTCCTCGACTTTTTGTAATGCATTCAGTAGGTCTTTGTCCTCCCGAATGGTAGGTCCATCTTGCTTCCAAGCATATCTCAAGTAATTCATGAAATCATCAGGTCGTTCCTTTGCAAATGAGATGCATTGTGATGATATAAAAGTCAGACCATCGTCATTGGTTTCGATTAGCCGGGCCTCTATTGCTTCTTGACCCTCGAAGGGCTGTTTGGGCTGGAACATTTTAAACTGAGTCATAGATGCTTGTGGTTTGTGATTTTTTTATGTCACTCACGAGTAGGCATCTGGCAAATTAGACTAGCCCAAGGGTCGCTGTGACAATGCTACTAGTATGGATGTATTGCCGAGAAAGTTCCACAACTAATTAAAGAAACAAACTCAGACATTCACAATTACTAGCAAAGCTCGAAGTTCACAGAGTTGAAGAATTTACAGGGGATTTATAGCTAGTGTAGGAATCCCTTGCTATGCTTTCTTATATCTAGCTCTCCTCCTCGCTTCTTCAATTCCTACTCGGGCATGCCTCGTTGGGGCATGGTGTTGATGTAAAAAAGTCCATTGACATCTCGTCGATCTCTGGAAGACCTGTCTCAATATGCCGGGCGGCACTAGGTTCGGTCGAGGCGGGATCTGAGCCAAGTGCTAGCCAGAGAGTATAGGGATCGCATTGGCTCCACCTAATCAACTGCTTATGATGGCATACAAGACATTTTTATATATTTGGTGCACATTTTGGATTAAGATAGGTGAGAGAACTGGTTCCAAAAAAAAAGTGGTTTGTGTGTTATTGCGTATTGTAGAATGTTGATCTTGTCATGTTCTCTGATGTTGCGATGCTGTGACTGATGAATGAAATTGGCGCTCAAGTCGAAGAGTTATAGATTTCCCCTACATGCGTCACGTCCATCTTGGCTACTAATCACTATGAAATGTATTCGCATAACTGACATCCATTCATCACATTTGCCACAGGAATCAGAGGTCTCATAAGTCTCTGCATCAGAGAAAAAGGTTGCTTACAAGGAGGCTACTCTGTGCTACATTCACCCTCTTCTCGTTCCTCTTTCTTCTTCTTTTTCTCCGGACATTCTGGATTTGGGCACTTGTCCCCAAGAAATAGAGAAACTACCTTATCTGTCATGTCTGGGCGATCGGTTGGAAGATGCCACAAGATAGAGGGCTCGAATTCAAGGTCGGCGATAGCTTGAGACGATGGGCTTGATCGTAAGTAAGGCTCACAATAGGTCCACCCGAGGGACTTTCGATAGCCACAAGAGTAACAGACCTTGAAATTCTCGACGCACATATTGGCTTTGGTAGTCTAAAAGGGGTTTTATGAATGCGACTACTTATAGTTGAGTTCTTTCCATAAGATGCTATGCCGCAAGTGAGTGTACAGATTTACCCTCAAATGATCAATTTATAGTCATTCTAACATGCCTGATGGCCGCCCTGGCCTTGAATCAGTTTTAGGTTTCAACCAGATGCTTGGTATGCTTCTTCACTACATGTTCTGTAGAGTATCAGGTTCACAAGCCCCCAGACTACCTGTGTCAGAGCAAAAGTTCGGGTTAAGAGTCTAACAGAGAATCTCCTAGAAAAATTCACAGTCATGAGAGCCTTGCCTTTAACCACTATCCACAATCATGCCCAACTAATGTGAGATCTCTAGAGTACTGATTAGAGTAGAGTTTGGTCACTGATCAAGGTCATTCGCAAACTGGAAGACGATTGAATTGACTTGTCTAGCTGCAAAGAGACAACCTGGCGCCAATAACCGCGAGAAAGCCATCACTGAAACTGTTCAATTACCAGTGAAAGTTCTGATCAAATGGCTAGTTCCATGCTCTCGTATAGCCATAGAATGCGCCCTGTTGGCTCACCGCTCGAGTGCTACAGCCTGATTCAAATGATTGGATGTGAACGCTGGAACATGCACTCCGTATCCTGCACTCTGAGCTATAAGTGGTGGCTTAGCTCTTGTGAGACAAGTTGGGCTAACAGCAGTAGAAGTACATTTAAAAAGTCACTAATCAGGCTGTGCTTACCGCCCTGGATTTCACAATTACAAAATCAGCTCAGATCAACCTTTTACTCTAGACAGACGATTTCGACCTTGCACTCTCCTAACCACCTCCTCTCTTGCGTTCCCAAATCCCTTCCCAGTAACATCCGAGGAAATGGAAGCTGTCGGCGCTGGTGCCAGCATTCTCACCTTTATCACTGTCGCTTTCTCAGTGACTCAATCAATCCAGACCGCACTCTCAGCCATCAAAGATGGCCCTGGGGTCATTCGTTCACTCACCGACGATATCGCGCAGCTCCAGAGTGTCTTACAACGGCTAGAAAAATTGTCCTTTGTTTCCGTCGATGACACCGATAAGTCTCAGCTGGAACTTTTAGCAGAGAAATGCCATGACGACTTGGCCAAACTTGATTCTCGGCTGAAGTCCCTTGATGTTTCAACCTCGGAGGGTCAGGGAGGTCGCTTCTTGAGAAAGCTGAAGCTCTGTTTCTCAGAAAAAGACCTTGATCAGATCCGCCACATCGTTCAAGGCCATGTGCTACATCTCGGGCTTCGGTTAGACCTTATCCTGGCGCAACAAGTGTCATTTACAGCGAGTCAATCAATCCGAGGTGTTGATCTTCTGCAACAACTGTTACAGGTCAATCAAGACATGATAGCGCGACAAACAACCATCATGGATACTTTTACCGCCTCGGGAGGCTCGCCACCCACTTCAGCGAGGGTGACGGAGGTGGACGACGAAGAAATGGACTGTTCACCGGATACATCATTGGATGAGAGTATCAATCGTTTAATGCGGATCCTGGAGAAGAAGCCCTGCGTGGTCGAGTCTGATGATTCAGAAGAACTGCTGAAAAACATTGAGCATCTCCTGGAATGTATCCGAAAAGATGCAGAGCCTGTCGAGTCAGAAGGGGCCTGCCAGAATTGCCAACAAGACATTTCAAAGGAATTAAAGCTTATGTCACATATCATCCTCTCTTCTACTTCGATGATGATCAATCAAACTGGTACGCCTCTGCGATTTATGTGATCCTGTTACTTACTTCTTCAGAAGCAACAAGATTCTGGGGACCAGAGGGCGAACAGCTTTTAATTTCCCAAGAACCGAAACGAAAGGCCTTCGAAACCGATGATGGGATTACAACTGTCACTACGGCTAAGAGGCGTCGAAAATTATCTTCTGAAGGCGAAAACGAAAAAGCCAAAAACGGAGCAAGAAGAGACTTCCTCGCAAAACTTACCTACACATCCAAAAGCACAAAGAAGATGCTCAGACTGTCGGTGAATCAGGGACAGCCTTTATTTAACAGTTTCACCAGCATTTTTCCTTGCGCTATTGTGTGCAATATCTTACCCGGAGACTCTCTTGTATTTGACATAGCCCGGAGCGGATCAGTCCAAGACCTCCTCAAATTGTTTGAGGGGGGGTTGGCCAATCTTCATGATCACGATACAGATGGATGGTCATTACTCCATGTAAGGCGTCAGAAGTTAAATTAAACTCATGGCATTAGCTTACGATCCCTCCGAATAGCATTCAGTGAGAAATCTCCCGGTTCTAAAATTCCTAATAGAACAGGGACTAGACATTGATGAAGTCGTAACCTACACTTCCTCCCGCAATTACGACTGCCAGACGTAGGACACTCGCTATAGTAGTATCTCAAGCTTTCAATAACACTATAGTAGTACTCCATCTCATCTCGCTCTTGCGCGTGGAATTTCTGTTGATAATTACGAAGCCCTCCTGTATGCAGGGGCAGATGTTACTATACAAGTCGAAGGACAAGAGACGGCAGTTCAGTGGCTTACCAATTCCGATGTGGGCATTTGACTTCCACCTTCTATCTGTTTCTGACCTTGATTAGACAGCATTGGGCCTTCGCAGAATACAACGGACGCTTCATCTAAGTCCTTTTGTATATGCCAACTCAAGCGGGCGGGAAGATCAGGATTTAATCCCAAGAATTTGCATCGATTGCATCATTTCAGGGGATTCCGAACCACACCAGGCACTTCAGCAAATAAAGTTACTCGTTGAGCATGGCTATGACGTCAACAGCACTTTTGAGGGACAAACTTGCCTACATATCCTTTTTAGGAAATCCCATGAGTGGCATCAGCGTATGCCAGAATACATGGAACTTTTATCGCTTCTTATTGAGAACGGTGCTGACCTGCATGCCGAGGACTACGATGGATATCAACCTTGGCACTATGCTTATGGTGCCACATGTGAGGCATGTTACCTCTACTGCCCTTCAGCCAAAGGCGATCTCTGGGATGCAGTTCTGACTTATCTTGGCTACGATATTTTGGAAAAAAGGAAAGGTTATCCACGGAAAGCGAGATATGCCACCGGATATACTCGCAAAGATTTTGAAAAACTGTGGCGTGGGCAAGAGGGTAAATGCCCTTATTGGGATGATCAGCTATGGCCTCCGGCGTCTGAACAAAGCGATACGGCATCCTCCTCTTGGTCGCTAACAAGAGGAAGTCTGTGCGAGATGTGTAGATCCTGCGTGGATGATCCTCACTGTTTGAACTGTGGCGTTTGCTTGTCTTCTTTCGAGTTCTTTTGCGAAGATGATAATCATCAACACGGCCTATTCTGTCCGGTTTGTCCGGTTGTGGAAGTCGCAGCTTGGGAGCTGAAGGAGGAAGAAAATAAAAGTTACTGGAAACTTGTGCGTTTCTCAGAAAGCGGATCAGACTATGATGTCTCGTCGAGCCAAGATTCCGAGGGCGGCGGGATCTCATTACAAGACAGGATTGAAGAAGCATTTTCTGATGCTTCAGCAGAAGTGTCATGATTCTCTGTAGCAAGATATATAAGAATTCTGCTAGCTTTCCTCAATTACAAATTCAGGGAGGCTCTTACCAAAGGAATCTTGGTCCTGCTACGCGATGCTGTCAATGTCTTCACGTAAATACATCATGGGGGGGTTGTAACGTTGATTTCTGTTCTTAGCTGCTTTCTAATCAAAACACTTAGTTATCATTCTTGATACCGTTCCATCCTTCTACATCACTCTTGGGCAAATCCATGATCTTGTCGTTAGCTCCAAACCGATCCAAGGGATCTTTGCCCCAGAACTCAGTAAACTTCTCCGGTCGCCATCTCCAGAACTTGGCAAACCTTTCCTCAAGGGTACCCTCCATACAATCAGAGATGAAGTTTCCAATCGACGTGATATGTTTGTATCCTGTACCACAGTCCCCTGAAGCAATGACAAGCGATGGATGTCGAGGGTGATATGTGATCAGAAACATTCTATCCCGTGTATCAGCGCACCAGCAGATTCTAGCATGGACGAGTGGACGATCTGCAAGTTGAGGCATGATGTCTTTCAGGAACTGCTTCATGCGTTGTTCAGCCTCGATTGGCACTCGATGCTTTGCGAAGGGGATGGACTGAGGGTATTTGGAACCAGGTTTATCAACCCAATTGCAGTATCCGGGATGTTCATCGCACATCTTGAGTTGATGCAGATCCTCATCAGGTTCCATGAAGAAGCCCTGGTTGATATTGAAAAGAGGTGGTAAGTTCTTGTAAAGCTTTGTTTCCTCTGGTGTCATCTGAATATGGCCCAGAGTCCATGCCGTAGGACGGATCTGGTTCTCAAAGTCGAGGAAGAACTCTGCTGAGGCACCAGCGGAGAGAATAGTTCGATCCGCTCTGTATTCCTTTCCATCTGCTGTCTTTGCACCTTTGACATCACCATCTTCAAAGATCAGACTCTCCACCTTCCCTTCGGGAGAGCCAGTGATGAACTTGACACCAAGTCTCTTGCTCTCTTCAAAGGCAGCTTCCATAGCCTTTCGAGCGTGAACCCAACCTGAACCCGTGGGCTTGTAAAAGCCCTTCCAGCCTGGAAAATCACCTGTCAGAATACCCTCCGGCATAGTCTTTCTGAAATCTTCTGCTGTGTTGAGAGGTGTATACTGGTCGATGTCGTCACCGATCTCATCTTCTACCAGCTGCTTGATAGATTTTGGTGTTGAGCCAGCCATGACAGCTCCTGTATTGTGGCAGAAAGGTTGGAAGATGGGATCATGGAGCCATCCTTGAGCTGCGGCGTACGTAAGAGCTTTCCAGATTGAGTCTTCGTCATCGCCTTTACTATCAGCAGTGCCTACTCTGTTAGTAAAGTGTTTGAGTGCTATATGTTAGAGTGTCTTACCAAGACCGCCTGCAAGCTTGTTTACATCATGACCGGCTGAGATGGGTGATGGGATGTGATTGACGTCGAGAACAGTGACGTTGGTGTAGCCTCGACGGGCGAGATGGAGGGCCGTTGAGCATCCCCAAGTTCCGCCACCAACGATGAGAATTTGGGACTGTTTGGTGAGAGTTGAGGCCATTATAGGGATTGTGAGAACGCAATGCTGGTGTTGAGATGAGTAAATAATGGGAATAAACAGCTCGGACCATGAAAGATATAGGAAATGTCCAATACTATCGCCTCCATTGAAGGTCCAACCGAGATATGTCGTCGAAGGTCCAGCCGAATCACAGATTCACACTGTACATCTGATTGGCTCATCCATCGCCCATTCGCTATCATCAGGTGATAGCCCCATCCATAGCGTCGTCTCCTCCTCCAAAACTCCCCCCGCTTTTCCACTCTCCCCATCAGACGATCAACCACTCACTCTCATAAGCAAAAGAATCCTCCTCCATCTCCCCGGCACTTTTGCTCCGTGTCCCATATTCCCCCCAATGCCGCGCCGCCGTCCCCCCGGCAAAACCGGCCCCGTCCAGAGACGAACAAGGTCAGGATGTCAAACGTGCCGGACCCGCAAGGTAAAATGCGACGAAGCTAAACCTGCATGTCGGAACTGCGTCTCCCGCGGATTATCGTGCAATACTACCTTGCAGTTAAAATGGGAGGCTGAGTTTACTGCAAAGGGCCTCTCGTTTGGGCGGGAGGGTGTTTGGTGTAAGGATGGGGCGAGGCAGAGACGACCGCCGCAGGTTCATTCGCCAAAGGCTTGGGGGTTTGGGGCTGTTGGGCCGAGACATTTTATCAATACTTATTATAGTGACTTTGTTCATGATCCGAATTATGAAGAGAGTCTTGTTAGGGAGGCTATGGAGTTGAGAGATGAGACTGCACCGTCTTCAGCGCTTATTCGGAGGTCACGATCACCACCAAGACTCATTCCTTCAATATCATCATTCCCTACACTGAGCACCTTTGAAACGAGTCTTTTCGAATACTATCTCCTACGATTATGTCCTCTCACAACACCTTCCTCACAACTCTCATCGCCTTTTGCAAGCATGGTCGCTCCTCTATTCACCCATGCTGGCCAAGATCTTCTCGTCCAATCTGTCCTTGCATTCTCTGCTCGACATCGAAGCATCACAGATCCATCATGGACACGTACAGCAATGAAGATGAAAGGCAAGGCCCTGACTGGTCTTCTACAAAGGATTCGATCTCCAGATGTCACGGCAGATGTCATACTGGATCCTCAAGTTCCTGCCACAATGATGTTTCTCTGTCTTTACGAAATTCTGGATAATGGCGACTATCGATGGGTCTTCCACCTGAGGGCAAGCCAAGACTTCATGAGAAAACGTCAGCAACTCGCACTTCCGTCAAGTAAGAACTCGGCATTTGGAAGTCTTGCTGCGTTCTCAGAGCGATACTTTGCTTTTCAAGATGTCATTAGCAGAACAGCTTGTGGAAACTCACCTATCTTTGGCCTGGAATATTGGCAAAGACCGGATCATACGGAGGATATCGATGCGTGGATGGGTTGCAGTCCGGCCATGGCATCTGTGATTTTTAAGATCACTGAACTGGCAAGGACAAGAACCCGAGATATGTCTCAAGAAGACTATGAGATCCAAGTCGAGGAGCTTGACAGAGAGTTGACTTTGGTCAGCTCCAATATCACTGTTGTTGAGGCCATGGATGAGAATGTCAGACGATGTGTGGACCTGAAGAAGACTTCAGTGCAGATATACTTTCACTGTCTGCTTCGAGATGCGGACCCTTCTACGCCACAGGTCTCACAGCTTGTCATCAAGGTCCTACACAGTATTCACGACCTTATCCAACAAGGCAGCGCTGCAGGACTTCTGTTCCCTCTGTTCGTCGCAGCCGTGGAGCTAGATCCTTTGAACGACGACAAGATCTTCGCCCATGGTGATCAAGGCACCTTTTTATCTGGCAGACAGCTAGTATTGGAGACCCTTGATTCCATGGTAGGTTTGACGTTGGCGAATGTTGAGAGAACAAAAGCGGTGATTCTAAAAGTCTGGCGCATGAGAGATTTACATACCCAAAAGGATGCACCGGTCTCGGTTGCCAGTGATTCAAATGATTGGAACACATTCGTGAGTCCATATACACAAAATCTTAATTTGGCATAGATGACCAGGGAAAGATTGTACGAAGTTGCATGGTATGGATTATGGTAGCTTGTATATATATACTAATGAATAATGATGGAATATGCCACTTCTAAGAACTTATTCTTTCATTCGTTTATCTCAACAGGAACCCAGGAAATACTGTGTCCTCCGGATCGATAAAGAAGTTCATTGTCCCGACCAGGTTAGCTGTTCCTCTCACTCTCGGAATACAAGCCGGGAACTCGACAGGGCTCTCCTCTTCAGAAACAATATCTGCTTCAAATACTGTATCGATAATCGATCGATGCAGGAGCTTCGACTTTCCAGCTCCCAATCGTCCTTCAGCCAAAAGGACTGCTACTCTTGAAGCTGTGCCTGAGCCACAGGGTGAGCGATCGATCTGGCCATCTGCAAAGACAGTAACGTTGCGTTGAAGTACCTCTCCAGCTGGTCCAGTGCCTTCA